TATCCTTTTCATACAACACAGCCCACTGAAAGCAACTCCCCACTCACCATGGTATTCACAAGGATTCAGATTTAAAGACTTATCTTCCACATGAGAAGTTGGCAAGCCATGGTATAGATGTTCACTTTCCAGAATAAATATGTAAGCCACACATATAACTTTAAATTGCCTAGAAGCTATGTTTAAAAATATACACTGAAACAAAAAACTTTAGGGTGTATTTTAATCTAGTATGTCCACGCATTACTATCTTAGCATGTAATCAGTATTAAAATTAATGAAATGCATATTTTCTATTGGTTTTATCATGCGAGGTCTTCAGAATCTAGAGTGTATTTTATCCTTACAGCACATCTCAGTTCATGCTGGCTACATTTCAAGTTTTCAATATCCAATCCTACTCCACAAGGCTAAAGGCAACCATATTAGACGGGACGAAGTCCAGTGCTGTTTTCATCTAATGGTGCCTAACTACAAACATGGGTGCAAAGTAACCAATTACACTATTAAATATCAAAGACTACAAAAAGGATACAATTCTGGTAGCCTTTAAGACCTAGTTCTCTCTCTCTCTCTCTCTCTCTTTTTTTTTTTTTTTTTTTACAGGCAGAGTGAGAGAGTGAGAGAGAAAGGTCTTCATTTTTTCCGTCGGTTCACCCCGCAAATGGCCACTACAGCTGGCACGCTGCACCGATCCGAAACCAGGAGCCAGGTGCTTCCTCCTGGTCTCCCATGTGGATGCAGGGCCCAAGCACTTGGGCCATCCTCCACTGCCTTCCCGGGCCACAGCAGAGAGCTGGACTGGAAGAGGGGCAACTAGGACTAGTACCTGGTGCCCCAACCAGGACTAGAACCTGGGATGCTGGCGCCGCAGGCCGAGGATTAGCCAAGTGAGCTGCAGCGCCAGCTTAGTTCTCTCTTTTTTTTTTTTTAACATCAGATAGTCAAATTTATTAAAAGAGTGGTTTGATTAGGCATCTATAATGAACATTTTAACCTCCTGGCTCACTGCTGAGGGAAGTAGTCTGTTTAACAATCTCAGAAGGATTATGAAGTCAACACATTGCTGTGGAGTCTCACTCAGAGCTGATTCCACAACTTAGACATTTTACCACCAGGTGCTTCTCTTGCAGTGATTCACAAAGTCTTGGCAGGCACCCAAACTGCTCTGTTCACTTTGAGCCTCTGTTCAAGTCACCACACACCTTCGCCAGGGACCTGACATTGTTGTGGCTGGTCAGGGTGACCCTAACTCAGTGAGTGGCCACCTCTGGTTCCACAGGCCTCTCTCTGGTATCTTTAGAAGCCATGGCTGCACCAGAATTTCCTGACTGGTTCCTCCAGGACAGCAAACAGCAGCAGTGAGGCAGGCACACGTGGGGTGAAAACTGCAACACCGCTGGCACGACCAGGTCTTCCTCAGAAAGCCTAGGTCTCTTCTTTTCCTCTGTCCTTTAACGGAAGGAAAACACCAGGGAAATAGTTCCTTGGGATACAGCTTCTTCCTCTGATTCACAACACAGTCCATAGACCATGAGTGCAGAAACAGACACTCTGGTCACAGCTTCAAAATACAGGATCACGTTTCCAGGCATGGACAGACTGGCAGAAGAGCAGGGCTGGAGGCGAACTTAAGCAATTATCAAAGTGCTATCCTCTTACAGTACAAAATGATCCCTGGAGAGAGAAATGACTCACATACACTCAAACTGCCAGTTTATAGCAGAGCTGGACTGGGAATCTCACTTTTGTAGCTTTGCATTATCAGTAACTTTGTTATAACGAATACGTTGAATTTCACCCCTTAGGGACCTGCTACTTATGTATTTCTACTACATAGCATCACATCACTAGGACCTTTTGTAACACATCTTAGGTGATGAATCAGCCCAAATGACTTCTGAAGTGGACTAATTATGAACTAGAGATAGGAGGACTAGGGTACAGCAGGGCTGCAGAACATGGACAGCACTAGAATCAGGGAAAAAACCGAGCCCTGGTAAAAACTAACTGCATGACTCGGAGCAAATCTCTTAGCCTCTCCATGACTCAATCTCTTTAGCTGCAAAATGACTGGCAGTGGAAGGCTCAGATTATTTCTAAGGTCCCTTCCACCTGTAAGATACTTATTCTAATTCCTGCTAGACAAATGATTATATAATAATAACCTTAGCCCACTACTTAAAGGAAAAAACAAACACTACCACGTGTTCTCTTTATGAACATGTCTAAGGATTGGCATTTTATTGAATGCTGAACTTCTTGATAAAGATTTAAAAAGTGAATATTTAAGAAATCACTACTATAATAGTTTTTCTATGTGAGCAAGCATACTATACCAGTTAGCATTATACAAAGCAATAGCACAGTGAAAAACATCACACTTTAATTCAGGAAGTTTTATTTTACCTAAATAAAAATGGGAAATAATTTATAACAATATTGGGTAGAAATTTCATTTGTTTGCATTTCAAACTGAAACCTGGTGGTTTGTGATGGGAATTTTGGTTTAAAATATCTCAACATTGCTCTTCCTGCATTCAGTTCATTCCACAGATATGTTTATAGCACCATTTCGGGGCCAGGCACTACTCAGCGGTAAGGTAAATTGATACAATACTTTTCTCCATGGATATTAGTGTCTGAGGGATAGGTATAAAGAAAATTAAACTAGGCTTTCTTTACCATTGTGTATATAATAAAGCCATGCAATCGTTCCTATATTAAAAATTGATCTTAAAAGCAGCTCCAAAAAAAAAAAGAGAGATCATAATCCATGTTTAACTTTTAACCTATACATGTGATTAAGAAGACAAAAAATGGTACATTGGTTCTAAAGAAAGAGTCCTGGAAATACAAATTCCGGGAAATACAGTAGAGCCTTCTGTGCTAAGTGAGTCATCAAAATTCCTAACAGGTCTCCAGGATGGAGCCAAGACCCAACTCCTGATTCCTAGCAATCAGCAGGAACATGGAGAACTATTAAAAAGGAGGGGTACTAGCCGGTGCCGCGGCTCACTAGGCTAATCCTCCACCTTGCGGCGCTGGCACACCGGGTTCTAGTCCTGGTCGGGGCGTCGGATTCTGTCCCGGTTGCCCCTCTTCCAGGCCAGCTCTCTGCTGTGGCCAGGGAGTGCAGTGGAGGATGGCCCAAGTGCTTGGGCCCTGCACCCCATGGGAGACCAGGATAAGTACCTGGCTCCTGCCATTGGATCAGTGCGGTGTGCTGGCCGCAGCGCGCCAGCCGTGGCGGCCATTGGAGGGTGAACCAACAGCAAAAGGAAGACCTTTCTCTCTGTCTCTCTCTCTCACTGTCCACTCTGCCTGTCAAAAAATAAAAATTAAAAAAAAATTTTAAAAAAAGGAGGGGTACTATATTCAAACTCTGATTGCTGGCCCTCATTTTGAACTAGCTCTAAGTGATTAATATTTTGTAAAAGACTCTCTCTTTATACTTACACGTGTTGCCTAAAAAACCTTTTTGGCTTTCGTCATTTTATAATTAGGAGTTGTGAGATTCTGGCAAGGACTGATGATTGCCAAACATCACTCCTGTCAGTACTGTGTTTTCTTGTTGGAAGCAACGTGAAATGAAAAATTCTATAGGATAGTTTTCTCATAAAGAAGTCTAAAGAGATTTCTTTAAAATCACAAGCTTCATTAATCTTTTCACCAAAAATACATTAAAGTTAAAGCTACCCATGTTCATTCTTAGAAAACAATATTGGCATTCCTCATTCTTTAAAAAATTTACTTATTTATTTTGATGTATTTGAAAGGCAGAGCAACAGAGAGGGGCAGAGAGAAATTTTTCTATGTGCTGGTTCATTCTTCAGATGCCTCCAACAGCCACAGCTAGACTAGGCTGAGGCCAACTCCACGTGGGTGGCAGGGACCTAGGCACCTGACCTGTCATCCATTGCCTCCTAATATCTGTGGGCATTAGCAAGAAGCTGGATGAGAAGCAGAGGCAGAACCACCCTCATCCAATGGGCCACTGTACCCGCACTGGCATTCCACATTCTTACAACTAGAAACCAAAACCAAACGGACTCTGTGGTATGAATTGCGATTGTCATGGCTTTAGCAAAAAGATGAAACACAGGCTTCCCTGTAACAGAACAAGGAAAATCCCATAAACCCACACTAGCTAGAGAAGTAAAAAATATTGTAGGGCCATTGTCCCCCGCTGCGTATCTATGAGTCTTTTGGGAGACAGAGGCCTATTTCTGATAACAAGAGCAATAGACAGAGTCTAAGGCAAGAGAATCAAACACACTGGAAAAGAAAACAGGGAAAGGATCACTTCTGTAAGGAACAGCCAAATGCCAATTTTTATGTACTGGCTTCTTTCAAAATATTCAATCACACCTAATAATTGGCAGAGAACACAAAAAGGCTCTCACTCCCATGCTGCTGCATTCACTCCCCCTGGGGTTCACGGCCATTTGGAGCTGCTACCAGCAACAAGGGAAAAAACCCCAGGGAGACGAGAAATGTTCAATTACACCCCTACCCCTCCTGCGCCCACATCTATCTGTTATTAATATAGTTTAGCCTTGTGGGTTAGGAAAAAGGGTCCTTAAAAACATCAAAAGGAACATTTTTCTAACATTTCTCTGTTAGAGTACTAAAGGATTTTTTTATTAAGAAAAAATATAAAGGCAAGCTAAAATACCAACTATCAAATTCATTTGATGTTTCCTGAACACTTTTCATTTAATAAGCTTTTCAATGGTTTGTTAGAACTAAGAACATGTCTCACTCACAGAATAAGATATATGTTTTATGAAATCCTCACAAAAGAAGAATGTTCATTCTTGCTTTACACTGATTTCTATTTTTGCTATTTTAAAAAATTGGCTTCTCAATACTATACTCTGTCTAAATAAAAGTGTGTAATTCGTTGGTTCCCATTGCAGAAGCTATAATAGTGTAGGTAGGTATGTGTATTTTTTCACTTAGTTCCATTTTTTAAGTCATGTCTGACAACTTCTGGGGTAGATTAACTTGTAAGAATCACCATTTATACTTAGTAAAATTCTAAGTGACTTATTTAATATGAATTATTAGAATGTACAGAATAAACTACCTCTGGTAGTCATTTGTTTCACAAATATTTAAGTACTTAGAGTGCACCTATGGCTCTCCCAGCCGCTGGGCATACCATATTAAAGGCACGGTTCTCCTGCCCTGTGCCACTTACAGTTTAACGGAGAGGTGATCAGAAAGGAAAAAATGCAGAATAAAGATTGAATAAGGGCTTTGCATGGTGTGACTGGGCGGGGGGGGGGGGGGGGACTCTCACAAGAAGACAGCCTAGGACACATCTGGGAGTCAAAGAGTTTCCAAGGGGAGCATGATTACTGAAGACATGCCTGGAAGGGCAATGAAGAATAACAAATGCTCTTAAAAAAGTCATTGGACACAAAATCAGCTTAATACTGAAGAATGTTTGTGGCCATGTGTTACTCCCAAGCCATTTAATCAGGATAAACTTTCTGGAGGAGATAAGCCTTAAACATAATTTTCAAATAAGGAATTTGTAGCCTTAGGGTAGAAGAGCAGGACTTTTTGTTCTATCTGTCCTTACCTTAAAAAGACAAAAACCAATCTGTGTCTCTAGGACATTCCTAGAAGAGACTATGCTAAAACACATAAAACCAATTAAAAAAAATAGTGGTGCTACAGCGAGCACACATTTCCTTGAGAAATATCGATGCCTCTAGACTTGAGTGGGCTTCTGTATCTGCTCTGCTCTAGGCTTCAGGGCTTCCAATATGTGACTCCTGAAAGAGAATATTCTAGATGTACCTTGAATGGTATCACCAGGAGCTCTGCAAGGTAACCAGTATCCTAGTATCCTGAGTTTATCAATGAGCAAGTTTGAAGTTCATTAAAGTGTCCCCATCACACTGCTGGTGGGTTTCAGGATTGAAATTTAAACACAGTGGGCACCTAATACCTGGGCCTGTGCTTCTATATAACTGTTATCCTTGCTTAATTACTTTTCCCAATCCACCTGACATGCAAATTACAAGGTGAGTTTATTTTGGTGCAAAAAATAGAAATCCATGTACTTTCTTCATAAGATACAGTTTCCATGAATTTTGAAGATTTGTTTTTGTGTGTGTACATGGATCTCAGAGGTTTTTGCACCAAAATAAACTTTTCATGCCATTTTTCATACACTTTTTGAAATCCCCTCATATAAGGCCAACATAGACTGCTGCGTAGCAAGGAGGAAAGCCAAGAAAGGGGTGCGAATAGGTAGAACCCCTAATATTAGAAGTTAACTACTACCTAACAGAGAAGGGACCAAGGAGAAGGAGAAAGGGAACTTCTGGATCAGGTTGTTGAAAGAATTTACATGGATTAAAAGAATAGGGGAAGAGCAAAGTGGCACAGTGGTCAGGGCACCACTTGGGAAACCCTCAATCTATATTAGAGTGCCTGGCTTCAAGTTACTGCTCCACTTCCGACCCAGCTCCCTGTTAATGTACACCCTGGGAGGCAGTGTTGACAGCTCAAGTAACTGGGTCTCTGCCACCCTCATAGGAAATCTAGATGGAGTTCCTGGCTCCTGGCTTTGGCCTGCCCCAGTCCTGGCTATAGCTAGCTAGCATCTGGGGAATGAGCCAGTGAATGAAAAGATTCCTATTTTTCTCTTTCTCTCTCTCTCTCTCTCCTCTCTCTCTGTCACTCTTCCAAATAAATAAAAACTAATAAAACTTTTTGAAGAAGAACAGGTAAATGCTAATCTAACACAACAGCTGTGATTCCAGATTGACCACTTGGCCCATTTTGAATTTTGCACAGTTCTTTAAGCAAGGACAGCAGGCTTCCTCCTTGCAATCAGACCCAGGATGAAAATTCTGAGAGGTAAAACTGTTCCATTTTGCTTTTTTACAGGACAAACAATTTAACAACATTATGTTTTAAGGAAAAATAATAATCTTTTCTTTCATCTTTGAGCTTTAAAATATACTGTTGCATCTGTGTCATTACCAAGTGAATAAAGTTTGCTCAATTAGCAACATGTTCTCATCACAAATAACATGTATCTGCCCCTTGTTCTGCTTATTGTTAAATTGTTTTCAATCCTCCCCGTTTTAAGACACTGAGCTCTAATATAGGTACCAGGTGTCTTCAATATACTTACCATGTGTAAGCCACACCCTCAAATTATCAAAGGGAATAACAACATTGACACTTCCAAATGTTTGTGGAAAAAACAGAAATTGAAGGTAAGTTTATTTTGGTGCAAATAAAATGGAAATCTATGCTTAGTTTTCTCACAATATTTGTTATTCATGAACCTTTTGAAAACCACTTTTATGTGGATTTTAAAGCTTATTTTGATGCAAAAAAAATTTATCTTATAATTCCATCTCCATAAACTTTTTTCAAGTATTCTCCTATACTTGGGGGTCTAAAGCCCACAGACCAGATCTAGCCTATTGCCTTGTTTCTATAAAACAAGCTTTATTTATTTTCATTTCATTTGAAAAGGAAAGAGACAGACAGAGCTCCCATCTGCTGGCTGACTCCCCAAATGACCACAATAGCCAAGGCTGGGCCAGGCCAAAGCCAAGAGCCTGGAACTCAATACAGGTTTCCCACATGCGTGGCAGGGATCCAACCACTTCTGCCATCACCTTCTGCCTCCCAGGGTGCACATTAGCCCGAAGCTGGAATGGGAAACAGAGCTTGGATTTGAATTGAGGCACTCCAATATGAGATGTGGGTGTCCTGAGAGGCAGTTTAACCACTGCTCCAAATGCTTGGCCCTGTAAAGCAAGTTTTGTTTAGACACAGTCTCACTTGCTCAATCAGCAGTTGTAACTGACTGTTTTCTAGTTATACCAACCAGAGTAGCTACAGCAGAGATTTACATGTCCTGCAAAGCCTAATGTATTTCCTACTTGACTCTTTATAGAAAACTTTGCCAATCCCTGCCCCAGACCACTAATAAGCCTACAAACAGAAGACTTCATTATTCATCTCCAAAATTTGTCTCCTGAATGCTCATTAATTCACTTTTGTTTATTTGTTAATCAACTAGTATGTGTGAAGCTATGTCTATGCAGGTGGCACACAGATGAAAAAGGGCTTGGAGACTCACATGCAAATCAACTAACAGAATAGTATGCCAAAACTGTGCCAATCAGGGAGGAGAGGGGTGGGAAGGAAGACTGGAAAATATCAGAGAGAGGGTCGGGCAAGTTACACAGGTGGTTGACATGCTATTAACTATTTAAAGACTGATGTTGAAGAGCTCTGGGTTAAAACGTGCTTTCTCGACCTCACCAGTGTGGGGTCTTCAATATCACGAACGTGTCGAGATGGTTTAGAAGAGCTGGAGCCTGCATGTGAGATCAGGAGAGCTGATCACCTCCAAACATCAAGCAGGAAGGTTACCAGTTCCTCCCCCACATTATCAGGGCTGGGTAATATTCAGTACTGGATACCACAGTAATGGAAACTACTGCATCCAAAATCTAACTGAGCTTCATGTACCTCTACCCAGGAACACTCCCAAAAGTTCATTAGTCTGTGTTAAATCTTGTAAGTGGAAAAGCCAGTTGCATGTGTGAGCAGAAAGTAAACACTTGTACTTACCTAATAAACAAATGATGATGATTATGATACAGTAAGCAAGTGGGATCATTCCCTTGTTTTTTTTTAATCAATGGCAGTGGAGGAAATAAATACCATGAACATTTATTGTCTAAGTGAATACCTTGGAGTTAAGCTTAACTATAGCTAAGTCAGCATAAACAATATTTTAAAAATTATTTTTGTTTTTGATCCACTAAATACTTATCTCTCTCTGGTCATGGATGAAAGCCAAAATAAGGAAAAATTCTTAATAACCTAAACAACAAAATAGGACTTATGTGATCAATTTCAATGTGATCAATTTATTTTTAATCAAACAATAAACATTCAATTTGAGAAACTGGATACAGGCTGCAATTTACATGGAAATTATGCATCTGTCCATTAAAGAATGTTAATAAAATTATGCTAAAATTTTCCTTCACTTAAGTGATTTCAAAGTGACGTTTTTGTATACATTTGCTTTCAAATATTTAAATGATTGTACAGTGACCTGAATGAAGTAAGTAGTGCAGAAGTCAAAATTGCTTTGTTTTAGAAGGAGCAGCAGGCCAAGGTAATCTTTTATTCCACAAATACAAATTGATATTTTATTTAATTAACAAAGTGTGAGGTTGGAAATCTTTATAAATCAATGGGCTTGTGGAGGCTCCCCCAATGAGGGTATGTTCTATCATTTACAACATCAGGAAATATATTCTATTTTAGCATGATAAGCTATATTTACATGCTAAAATGAAAATACTACTGGATTAAAAAAAAGAAGGTGACTGATGGATTGCTTAGCTCTGACAGCATTATAGGATTTTGTTTTGTTTTGTTTTGACTGCAGTCCTGTTGTAAGAAGAAACCACTGTTTGAAAACATACGTATCTAAGTATTTCTGAATATTTTTTAAAACCTAAATGCAAAGTAAAACCCACACCTAAATTTTCTCTTGCCTTTCCCATGTGCCCAGGAAATCCCATGCTAGAAGTATACAGCAATCACATTGTCTCTCTCCTATGTAGCCAAGCTTCTTGTTTACTTGCAATAGCACAGAGTGTTCTTATAAAAAATTAACTTCAAATCAAAAAGGCAGGAAAATAAATATCTTCAGCAGTAAAAGACAACAGAAAGAAACTGCAGGTTAAGCACAGATAGCATATAATTAAGAACAAGAAAAATCAAAGTATTCTTGAATATACATTGCTTTAATTTTTCTCCTGGTAGATTTTCAGGTGATCTTAAAAAGATCCATTAACAATCCTTTCATAGAAAAGATTTATTAAAAACTACAGACACTTGGGGAGACAGAAAAGGAGGGAAAAAATGGCTCAGCTTATAATAATAGATGGTGTGAGTTCTTTCCATGTTGTGCATTATGACAGCATCAAGGAAAAACCATTGCTGGACGAATTCTACAGACACATTTTCTTCTAGAGAAAACCCCACGGCTTCCCATACATTGTGAAGCAAAGGGGGGTAGGGAAGGAGCAGTCAAATTTCATCCACGAACATAAACCTCAGCCTGGTTTTTGAAAAGAGAGCCAAACCTAAAATAGCACTGAAAAAAAATATTTTGTAATAAAAAAATGCTATATATTTTTTTCTGTCTAAATCTGGAATCCTGACGATCTTCTTTTAAACAAGCCAGATAGTGCAAGCTTCAATCTGTTTGGATAGAAAAGAATTTATATAAATGTTTTGTTCAAGCCCAAAAGGGAAAGAGTTTAAATATACAGTGCATGAAAGATGCATGCCCAGCTTCGAAACAGCTTCAGTGAGCTCACTGCCTGCAGACTTCAGGCTGAAATATCTTACAATTTGCAACATCGTTTCAATGACCCCAACCTTAAGAGATTAAGCAAAATTTCATAACTGTCCTGTTCTCCTCCCCTCGTGACCTTGGAGAGGTGTACGGAGGGGAGGGGCAAGAAGGTCAAAGAACAAATGGAAACAAAATCTGTGTTTTGCACTCTTTCTCTGCAGCAGAGAAAGAAAAACGAGGCAGATCAATCTGTATAATTCTAAACCAAATCTCTTTAATTCCAGTTGGCTTTTATCATTCAGTCACTGAGTCTGTGTGTGGAAAAATTCATGCTAATTCCCCCTAGCAACAGTCTCAGCCTATCAGGGGACTTTATGTACCATGCAGCTGCCAGCCAGAGAGAATAACTCTAAGTAGGTCAGGCCTGTATTTCTAAAAATGCTACGGTCTAGTAACCCCACTGTCCCGTCTGTCTGCCCTGCCCCATAATAACCTCAATTGCTTGGTGACACAATGACATACTATCCTGTTAGAGTGCAATCACATCATGCTACATTATTCTGCTGCGAGCATGACTGCTGGGTGAAGGACCCTCGGAGAGGCAGCATTAATCAAGCAGCCATTCATGTCCAGCGGCACTTCACTCCCGAAATGGGGACTGCATTAATGACCAGCTGTTTGAACTAACACAAACAAAATAATGTCTTCCACCCTGTTGGGTGCTCAGAATACGCTATTCTGATGTGGCAGGTTCCGCTTCTTGACTAAATCGAAGATGTAAATTAAACGGGCTCAGACAATGTCAGTTTTGGCAACTCAAAGTGAGTATATTTAAATTATATTACATGTGATTCAAAAAGCGATGGACTTAATACACACAGCTTTCCCTGCCTACAGTTTTCCCTGATCCATATTTTAAAAAAGGAAGGCGCATACCCGGGTAAACCCAACACATGTGCGCATCTCACCAAGGAAGCCAAACACACAGAGCTGAACTAAAACTGACTTCTCTTTGGGCAGAGAGACGAAGCAGGTCAGGAGTAATTGTGCAGCGTGAACACAAACACAAACACAAAATGAATGCCGTGGAGGGGCACTGGAAACAAACAACAGTAAACAGTCTAAGTCTCCCAACCAATCAGCTCCTCCCACCGTCTCTGTGGAGGTTCTGGAAGCCCCAGCACCAGAGGCAAGGGAGGTGTGGGGTGGGGAGGATGAACATGGCCTTGAGATCTCCACATCTGCGGTACCCTGAGTTCCCGCAGGATTACCTGCTGGGAGGCTTCAAGACAAGGGAAGCTCCTACAAGGTTTAGACCAGGACTAACAACAAACATCAGGACGCCATGGCCATTTCTAAATTCTAACACGGGATCTTTGGGATTTCACCGATTTTATGAAATCTACTTCTTTCTGTTGAAATGCAAAAGAGCAAATGAAAATGAGGTGTGGATGCAGAGGCAGGAGACTGGCAGTGCAGTTTTTGGCTGTTTGGGAGAAATGCATTGCACTGACACAGCTTGCAGGACTAGTCTGCATTTAAGTGTTCACAGTTTCATTTAATGAACCTGTCCCCCCACCCCCACCACTCCATTCTGGACAAATTAGTAACTCGGTCTGCAATTATGCAGAATTCAGCAACTCTTAAATACATGGAATCCATCAGTAGGAGATTTACAAACACAGAAAATTCCTTAATCTGTCTGCCCTTGTTTGACCTGGGTTGGCTATCTTGGTTATGACTATCTTCCTCGCTTTGTGGCACACAGCGCAGTTATTCTTGGAGCGATGCAGTCACTGATGCAACCAAGAACCGCTAATTACAAGCTGCTGACATTCTGCTTGTCTCTGCAGCTTTGAAGTTCTGTTTTTTCTCTTAGGGGCTTGCAGTCATTCTCTTTCCCCTCACCACCACCACACCCCCATCTCTTACTCTCTCCTCTTGCCTTCTTTTCACTGTAGCTTCAGCCTTTCTGGACTGGCACGAGGACTGTCTGGAGAAAGGGGTAAATATGCTCAGATTCTTTCCCTTGCTGCCTCTCCGTTCCCTGCCTTCTCTCCCTGCACACGCACACACAGCTCTACAGTTTGGAAGTACAGTAACAAGATCCTCAGGCGGCCCCACCCTCAGGAATGCATCAACAGCTGGCCAAACATAATCCAGCACACAGAGCTGCCTTTGTAGAATGGGTAACAAACAGTGCAAGGGCCAGACAGGCGGCCCAGGAGGGCTCCCCATGACAACTGGGAAAGTGCCTCACCCCGGGATTTGAGCCGATTCCTCCACACTGGCACTGGCGCTGCAGCACCGAGCTCACCCCTCTGAAATCTCCAGCAAGCCTCAGTGCTCCCGCCCAGCCTCAGCAGAGGTGCTCGCCTCGCCACAGCAGCAAGTCAGCTGCCAGCTTGCTCCACAGTGACCACGACCATCCTATGCTCACCGCACGCCTCCCTCAAAATGCAACACAGCGGACTCCCAAGTTGCATCATAATAGCATGCGCGCCTGTACCTAACCATTAGCTGTGAGGCACCAGGACCACCTCTCCTCCTTAGAAGAGGATTTTTAAAAAATCATAGGCTGCTCCTGGCGTTCTAAAACATGTAAATAGATCACTGTATTCATCTCCACCGAGCAGTTAGCATCTGAAGCCTGTGGTAGCCAGCTGGTCTCAAAGTCATCTGGGATACATTTATTTTGATTAAATTGATCAGATTTCTATTTACAGGATAGAATTTTTCACCATACTGAATACAGCTGTGTTTACAGGGATTTCTAGAAGAAGAAGAAAACAAAACCCTGCAATCAGGGCTAGCGACGCACAGAGCACTCGGAACTTCAAGGAGTTAAAACTGACGGGCTTGCTTTCACATGAAGGAGAAAATTCTGCGTGCAGCTGCTTTGGCCATGCTTTCTGGCTAGTCAGGAAGTGGGTGTTGAACTGGAGCTGAACACACAAGCTGCAATCAAGTCCGATCCAGCAACGCGACAGACTTCCTGTGTAAAATGGTCAGAAATCTTTTTTCCTCCATGTCTCTACACGCATGCACAGGCATTTAAATCCATGTTGCAAGGTTGCTATTTCCTCTGGGGACACTGGTGCAGCCACCTAGCCCATCAGTTTCTTCCTTGACAGCCCCGGGGACGTCCAGACTGCAATTTACAGTTCCTCCATCCATGTACCGGGGTATAAATTATGCCATCCTCCCTAGGATGAGAACGCGCAGCGAAGTGGCAGAAAATCGCCCAGCACTCGGCCTCTCTTCCTTTTCACGCGCGCCCTCACTCTGCATTTCTCCAACTCTGCCTTGTCAGACAGACACATCAGATACCTGGTTTATCCATCTTCAGCTCCATTCTCGGGTAAAATGCCACCGTATCCCAGCCTGGGTTGTTCCCCCAGACCGGTCCCCCGGAGCGGCCGAGCTGGGTGCGCGCGGCAGCCCTGCGGCGCGTCGGTGGGCACTGGATGTGTAGTATTCCTAACTCCCCCTTCCCCGGTCCTTTGCGTCCTCTCTAGCCGTCCCACCCTGGGTCTTCTGCAGCTTCACCCTGTCCTCAGGTCCCCTCATCCAGCTGCGAGGAGACCCTGGCCGGAGCCTGGCCAGCAGGTCCTCCTTGCACGCAATGCCGTAGATGCACACGGTCCGGGCTGGGGCGCAGCTTGGCGAAGCCCGGGCAGGAGACGGCAGAAGCAGCTCAGGTAACCCAGGAAAGCTCGGCGTGCCCACGGCGATGCAGCCCTGGAGCTGTGAAGAAAGACGGTCTGGCTTCAGAATTTAAAAAAAAAGAAAAAAGAAAAAGAAAAAAAAAAAACACAAAACAGCGCAGCTCTGCGCCTGCGGGGGTGGAAAAAACAGACACAAACCATAAAAAAAAAAAAAAAGGGTTAAAATCAAATTTCAAAAACAAAAAGAATACAGAGATCAGAGTACTTCGTGCGACTTTTTATTTCTGACGTTTCTCGGTTTATTGGCCTCCCCGCCCCCTCCAAAATCTCTCCTGTCCCCGAGCCACTGTCTGTCCATGAGTGCCGAGGCACAAAGGCTGACGCTGGCAAGTGCCGCAGAGCCAGCATCACATGAGAAGCCACATGACGAACCGGAGTCGGCTGCTGATGTGGTCAACTCTTGCGCGAGGCAGGGGGGGTAGGAGGCAGACAAGCCTCCAGTGAGTCCTGCCCCTCTCTCCCTGCCAGGAGGAAATTTCCTTAAAAGAACAATGAGAAGAAATGCTTGGGAGTGCGCGCAGACTTTTACACACGCACACTTATCTAGACTAGGGAGACCAGGGATACTTGAAGCCACTGCGAGCATGCTGTACCGCAGATACTAGCTGGATGGCAGCAATATTATTCCTAGTTTGTGTTAGTCAAAGCTGATTCCACTTAAGTGGATTCCTGAAAAGCACACACCATGGCTTCATAGCATGATCAGGCTTGGAAAACCAATTCTATTATCTCCCCCTGCAATCTGTATCTGAACCTGCATTCTGAATAATTTATTTTTAGACTAATAAGATGCTTGCCAGGACCGCTCCCTGTCTTCGGCGAGCAGCACAGGCAACATTATTCACCCAAGTGGGAAAACCTTGTCCCTTTGTAGGGGGAAGAGAAGAGATGGTTTCCATCATTTTTTTTTAAAGCAATTCTGTATTTAAAGGTATACAAACACACAGCAGTAAAGTTCTCTTGCAAGTCATCACTCAAATCCAGTGAGTGCTTCTGCTTCATTGAATTGACATGTCTCTTATTTGTGGCTTGGCATCTCGTGCTGGCAAACAGGGGTGATATTTTTCTATCACTGCTCATGGCTGCAGCTAGAGGCCTGAAGCCACGTGGATATTGCTACTCCTCAACAAGGGAGAGCTCTCTGCCCAGGTACCTTTCTGCTGAGGTCCTGGGTTGCCAGGTATGTTTTATTACTTACATTAAGGTATGCAGGAGACAGGCAGCCTCAGATTGCCACCCATCCTGGAATTAAATAAGTTGCCTATTTGCAACATCTTTTGCAAGATGTGGGAGGCATGCCTTTGTGGAAAAACTGACCACATAAGCTAACTAGAGACTACTGTCAACAGGTGATGATAACTCTACAGCGAGTCCTACTTGACTGTGCACATAGTCAGGTGAGTGGCCATGAATTCGCTCAGCTTGTACTTGAGCGTCTCAGGACCTGCTCCCAGACATTGTGGGTCCCACCATGAACAAGACAAGTCTGGTCTCTGCCATCCTGGAACTCAAAGTCTAGAAACTGCACATGTCATTGTCCTTTCAAAGACAACCTTCTCCCAGTTTGAATATTCCCAAACTAAGCAAGGAAGAAACCTAGCAGTCCCTGGCTCATCTTTCCCCTCCACCCTCCGATCATCTTTCAAGTCTTCGGACGCTTTCTTTACATCCTACCCTTGAAGTGAAGATTCCTTCTCTGTTCATGTCTAGAGACCAGGCTCAGACACTCATACTATCACAATTGAGGGCCTTCGCTCCGGCCCCCTTATGTTGTCTTAGTCCTGTCAGCAGCCCACCATCGTGCTGACTCTCTTCAACCACCATGTTCATGATTGTCAGGACAACCGTTTGCCCAAAACTGAGGATGCTGCCTTACTTCTTCATGCTTGTAAGCTGCTGCCGAAGACACTCCTCTCTGGTTGGGCTTTGTCTTATCTAAACAGACTGATCTATTCAGGATCCTCTAAATACACCCTTCATCCAATCAGCAAAAAGACATTGTTGGCTTATTTTTGTTACTAACCAGGCACAGAGCACTCTAAGAAAAACAAAGACTCACCAAGAACTATCTATGCCCTGGGAGAATGTATACTCTAAAGAGTGTCTGCTAGCTTTTCCAATGGCACTAACTCTTTATCATCTGCTGCTAGCCATCACTTCAAGTTCTGTTTCCCATAAAACTAATAAATAGGCCTAAATCTACCTGCTAAGTGTAGATTGGATAAACACTGCCATTGAAGGGCAGAGAAGGGAGCAATACGTCTACCTAGATGTCTGGGAAAGCTCCAAGAGGCAACTGGGATTTGCAGTGAGCTATGAGATGTGGGGCCAACTTGGGGGTGGGCTTTGGGTATTAACAACAATAGCAATGGCAATGGCTAAAAATGAGCAATTATATGCTAGGGCCTGCTCCATATATTTGATTTATATACATATATATATATTTAGATATATATATTAGATATATTGATTCACTTAAAAACTTTATGAGCAAAGTATTTTTAATACGTTCTTTTCAATCGTATAGAAATAAGCACAAAAGATAGATTAAAGAAGTTGTCCAAAATCACACAGGTGGTAAGACATAACTTTGCCCAAGATCACGTGCCTTTAACCAACATTCTATGTTACCCTGGAGTTGAAGAAAAACAGTGAGAGAGAAACCAGATGGGTGAGAATACATACATATGCCTGAAGGTGTGTGGAGAGATCTATGTGGTTCAGAGGTTATTACAGAAGAAGTGGGACTAATTGAGGAGAGCCACATTATAAAGCTAGGCCACGTATCCTCTTCCCTAGCCAAGGGAACATCCACCAAACTGTAGGATAATGAGTCTGGTGACCATGACTCAGAGTGGGTACCAGGAGGGTAACAAACAGGCTCTTAAAATAGCCTCGGCTGGCGCCGCAGCTCACTTGGCTAATCCTCCGCCTGCGGTGCCGGCACCCTGGGTTCTAGTCCCGGTCGGGGCGTCAGACTCTGTCCCGGTTGCTCCTCTTCCAGTCCAGCTCTCTGCTGTGGCCTGGTAAGGCAGTGGAGGATGGCCCAAGTACTTGGGCCCTGCACCAGCATGGGAGACCAGGAGAAGGCACCTGGCTCCTGGCTTCTGATGGTTGCAGCACACATAGTGGCCATTTGGGGGGTGAACCAATGGAAGGAAGTCCTTTCTCTCTGTCTCTCTCTCTCTCACACTGTCTAACTCTCCCTGTCAAATAAATAAATAAATAAATAGCCTCACTATAAGGGAATGGTGTCTGGAGTCTGGAATTGGCAGAGAAAACTTGAGATGATTTCTGGAGGCTTTATGAAGAAAGAAGTGACATTATTGAGGGATTCCCAGAAAATAGATAGAATGATGATGGCACAGCTGACTATCATGGTTTTTAAAGACTGAATAAATAAGAAAAAAAAATAGTTCCTTGAGCTTAGGAGTTGTATCATTAATCTGCTTTCCTAATAGCTAGCAAAATGATTGATACACTTTTAAAAATAATGAAAGAATGCATGGAAGTAATGGAGGTAGACATAAAGAAATCTGAAAAGATGGTATATGTCAGGAAATAGTAAAATGAACTTAGCATATCACAGGATATCCAGGTGATTCAAGTAGGCTGGTTCCATCATGACGGGTGCACACAGCAGTGGACTGTGTTCTCTCTATCTTTGGCCTAGTTTTCTGACACACCTGCTTTCCCCTACCTGATACCACCAGTGTTGCTCTTCCGGCCACCCTTTACTGGGGCTGTGCTAGTGCCACTGCTGCAGCCACCTCAATCCTTACCCACTGCCAGCAGATCCATCCCATCCTAGTCTGTCCCCTAATTGAAACACTGCACTTACCAAGGCAATAAAATAAGTGTGCTAATGTACTTTACCAGTATTTTTTTTTAATAGCAAAGTAAGAAACCACCAAAGTTTATCAGCCTCCTCACACAATCTTAGCTAACCAGAATACTAAATTAACGAACATACCTCATTTCTTGGACAGTTAATATGACATACTGCCTCTGGCTCTGAAAGTAAAAAGGGGTGTTATTGCCTCATATTATAGCTGGGGGAAAAAAAAGTGTTAATAATCTTTCTCATCAGCAGTAACGAATTGAGCTTTTAATACCCAGATATATTGTAGTAAAAGGCTAGTATATCATCTTCAAGTAGAGTTCAAGAGCAATGTTAGATAACTTGGGTATTTCAAGAGTCAGCGCCTATTTAGAGAGCAAAAACAAAGGGGGTGCTAAAAAAGAATTTATGTTGGGAATATTTTTATTTCTATCAGTTTAGATCAACTATCCTAATTAATCTTGAAATACTAAGCAACCGTGGATCTCCTTTTGAGTGAATGGGAAAAGGTGTAGGCAAGGTTACTGTTTAATGCAAAGATGCTCACACAAATGGTTATGTGGAGTTGCTCATCTAAGACAATGTGGAGGGGGATAAAAGGGATGAGGTGTTGGCCAGGCCCCGAAAGAGCTTACCAGACATTTACCCAGGAGGATACTTCCCTTCCTTTGATAACAGGGAGCTACTGCATTTGGTGATAGTAAAAACCGGTAGAGGTTAGCAAAAATGGATATGGCCTCTTGAAAGCAAGCCGGCTCATCTAAGCTGTGTTGAGGTCTTGCCATAAAGGAAATAGCTTGCATGATTAGAATATTCAATGACTGTGACTCTTAAATCCTTTAGGTGAGTAAGGATGTCATGCTTTATGCTTTATCCTTGCAATCCTAGCAAATATTAATAATGAGATGATGGTATAGAGAAAAAAAGAACATATTGGCCTGTTTAGCAGGTTGCTAGAGGACTTGAAATTGCATGCCATGTTTTCTACCCTCACCAAAATGGTTGCTGCATTAAGATTAGCCCTGCACAAAGCAGACTGACAAAATGACTAATTGCTGGCTGCTGGCAGAGGACTGATTTCCCCTCTTTCTGTCACCAGGCATTACTACCCTGGTCCATTTTACAGAGGCCAAGTGGCAAGTTTAAGGTGGAAGGACTGTGTTTGTTCACCTGTGAGT